TTTGAGGTGCCCGCACGCCGGCTGCGCGGCAGCTGCCTGTGCAGCAGGAAAAGCAGCAACACCTAGAATTAATCTGGAACTCATAATCGTTCACCAGCAACTACTCTGCACCTAACTACCACCTCGTGTAGCCCGGCCTTTGTTTACTCATCCCTTTGGCTCCTGCTCCCCCAGTTAGAGTCCGTCGGCCGATCCATTCGTCAGGCCACTCGATTCGTTTGGTTTGTGCAGCTCCGTCGGCCGGTGCCGGGTGCTGGCGTTGTGCCCATCGGGGTCACGCCATCCCGCTCCCGTGCCCGCAGCACCCCACAGCCCGTGGAAATGGGTGTCTTCGAGGGGAGGGGGCTTCGTTACCCTCCTCCTCCATGAGAGGCTAGGGAATGTCGGTGGTGAGATGCTGTCCTCCTCCTCCTCCCTTCCCGGGCAGCCTTCGCTCCGCCTGCGCTCCCACACCATATGGCGGTGCGGGAAGATAAAGACAGCGAAACACTGGGAGCAGGGGAACGCAGGGGAAGGCGAACACGCGGCAGACAGCCGGGCCAAGTACAGCTGCGATTTTGCAGGGAGGAAAATGTGCGGCACGAGCCCGAGGGCGAGCCTGGGGCAGGCAGAGAGAGGGGCCTAATCCTGCACCCGGCTGGGAGCTGTGAGGTAGCGGTGATGCCCTCCAGCACAGGGATGCGCAGGGGAAAGTCAGTCGCCTTGCCGGTCAGCCTGAGCAGAGAGGGGAAGGGAGAAGCAGGTTTTGCACAGACAAAGGCGAGGGGCTCCCCGCCGGCTCTCGCTGCGATCCCCCTGATCGCTCTGCTGGGGACGCAGCGAGGAGCCAGCGCCAAAGCGTTGAGCACCAGCGGCAAAGACGCCAGCGTGCCCGGTGAGGTGTGGGGTGCACCCGTGCTTCCCTCCCTCTCCCCTCCAGAGCCCGCAAACCCACAGGTTTACCCCCAGCACCCTAGAAACGCAGAGCGGCTTTCCAGGCTTGCCAAAAATCCAGCACCCTTGTCGAAATTCCACTCTGCCTTTGCCCGTGCTGGTTCCCTCTGCCTTGGGCCAGCAGCTCCAGCCTACACCGATCATTCATAGGATCATATAGGAAGTTCCTTCTGAAGATGAGGAAGAACTTCTTCACTCTGAGGGTGACGGAGCCCTGGCCCAGGCTGCCCAGGGAGGCTGTGGAGTCTCCTTCTCTGGAGATGTTCCAGCCCCGCCTGGATGCGGTCCTGTGCAGCCTGCTTTGGGTGACCCTGCTTGGGCAGGGGGGTTGGACCAGATGACCCACAGAGGTCCCT